CACTAGAGCTCTCAGGATCCTTGTATTTCTCATGTCCCTGAACCCTGCATCCCTAAACCACTAGGTGGGAACTGGGAGAATGAATCCCTCACCCAACCCCTACCCCATCCCCACTCCCCTCTCTTCCCCCCCGGCACTGTAAGGGCAGAGCAAGTGATGCAATGTGTACTTGCATTTGGACTGGCCTTGATGTGCTGAACACACCTTCAGCTTTGTCCACTTGCGTCAGCTGTTTCTAGCAGCCAGCAGCCGTCACCAGTATCATTTGTGAGGAAATGTCCCAGCGAAAGTCCTTGCTTGGGTGGACTCTGGCAGGCAAATGCCAAAGCTATGAATGCGACAGCTATGCACAGCAAACCTCCAGCTGTCTGTGTGCTTCGTGACGGCATCGGAGAGTCACAGTCACCCCACAACCTCACAGTGGGCTGTGTGCCTACCCATAGCCAGCAAGCCCAGCTCGCATTGTGTCCTATTGGCGACTCTTGAGGCTTGAACGTCTTCCTGGGGGAGCATGAGACACTGAGACCTTGTCAATGTGTGAGACGTCAGAGTCTTGCGAGAGGACTGAGCGTCGATCACAATCCTACGTGAGGAACAGCGGACATCAGAGCTCGTGCCAGCGGCACACGAGGTGTCCAGAACTGGTGGGACTCACAAGAGGAGGTGAGGCCCGGAGGCTGCCCACCGCTCTGCAATAGGCAGCCTCCGGCTAATCCATCCTCGGAGCCCCACAGCGCCAGGGCAGCCGCAGCCTCGAGCCGGGAGGCGGCTGCCAACAGGAGGCGGGAGGCGTGGGCACGGCCGGCGGAGGCCCACGAGGAGCCGTGCCCCACCTTCCTCGGGCCGACGGCCGACGCCGTCTGCGCTCTTCCCTGCAGACACATCTTGTGCAGGGAATGCATCCAGCTCTGGACCGCCAACAGGTCCAACTGTCCCCTGTGCCGCCAGTTCATCGGCACCATGTTGCGCCTCGGCTGGCGCCCCTCGGCTCGCCCCGGGGAAGGCTGCAGCGCACCAGGGAGAGGAGGGAGAGAAGATCTCCCCATCGCTCCCGCAGCATCCCACCAAGCCCCTTCAGACCCCTTCGCCCGCTGGTGCGCAGCTCCTCCTGGCACGGGGAGCCCAAGCAGCGCAGCCGGTTCGAGGAACCGCCACGGGACACCGAGGACGGGGAACGGCTGAGGCGGGTGGCACAGGAGCGGCGGATGGGTGCCGGAGACCCCGCGCGGCACCCCGACGGGCCCCGCTTCTGAGCGGGCGGCCGAACCTCAGCCAGGAACGGCACGGGGACGGAAAGCGCGGGCAGGGGAGAGGCTGAGGCGCTGCACGGCTCTCCTGCTTCCGCTCTTGCTGAGCGTCCCTTCCCTGCACCGCGTTGGAGAAGACAGCCGGCAGCTCGAGCTCCTCGTTCTGTTCCCTGCTGACAGCCTCGGTCAGCCCGCAGTGCCCAGCTGTGGGCTGCCGGTACCACAGACCCGTACTCTGCACGGAGCCCGGCAAACGGTGGCCGAGTGCTGGAAGAGCAGAGCATCTCGGCTGCGAGGGGAGGGCTGGGATGGTCCTCCTGCCACCGAGAGGGCGCGGGGGGATCCGGGCACTGTCAGTAGACTTTGCTGCACGCTGAAATGGGCAGTAGAGCAGTTGTTGCACCTGTTTCTTTCTGAAAGGTAAACCATAAATTCAGGCTGAGATATACACCAGGCAGAGTAGAGATGGACCTGCTATGCCAAGAGAGTCATTCTGTTCCCTGGCACCCACCCACTTCAGGCAGTCGCAGTGCTGGGAAGGGGACGCAAGGCAGTGCCAAGGCTTTTTTCTCAGGAACAAAGAGCTGAGCACAGGGCCAGGGCTCCAGCAGCGCTTGCTTCTCCGCTACACCAGCACAAGCACTGGCACGGAGATGAGGACCAAAGTCCCCTTGCATTTCCCATCATCGTCTCTACAGCACAGTATGTTGAAGGATGGCTCTATGGGGTTATCCAGCACAGGAAATACACTTTTGGACACTCCTGGTAGGAGTGCACCACATGCTTCCACCACACATGAGCACAGAGCTGCTGTGCTCCACCTCAGCTGTTGCCCATCATGAGGCACTGCAGGGAAAGCACTGCACCACTGCATGTTGAAAGGGCAGTCCCAGATGTGTGAGCAGCTGTCAGCGCCGAGCTATCGCAATACAAGCCCACAGTGATGCAGCACTCACCAGTGCTGTAGATCTGCGGATAGAGTTTACATTAAAACACGCCAAAAAACCCAAGCTCTCCTCCCCTCTGAATGCGACAGCGAGCAGAGGATGCAGGAATCCAGCATGGCTCAGCAAGGACCTGCTGAGCAAGCCGAGGGCCAAGAGAGGTACACTCAGGCTTTGGCAACAGCGGTGTGTCACCTGGGAAGAGTGCACGGGTGCCAGTGGCATCCTGGCTTGTATCAGAAATAGCACTGCCAGCAGGAGCAGGGAAGTGACCATCCCTCTGTACCGAGCTCTGGTGAGGCTGCACCTGGACAACTGTGCTCGGTTTTGGGCCCCTCACTGCAAGAAAGGCATGGAGGCCCTGGAGCGTGTCCAGAGAAGGGCAGCGAAGCGGGTGAGGGGTCTGGAGCACAAGTCTGACGAGGAGCAGCTCAGGAAGCTGGGACTGCTTAGCCTGGAGGAGGCTCAGGGGAGAGCCTATTGTGCTCTGAACCTACCTGAAGGAAGGCTGTGGTGAGGTGGGGCTTGGCATCTTCTCCCATGTCCCTAAGCAGAAGGACTAGAGGGAATGGCCTCAAGCTGTAGTAGGGGAGTTTCAGGTTGGACGTTAGGAAATGCTTCTTCTTCAAGAGGGTGATCAGGTGCTGGAATGAGTTGCCCAGGGAGGTGGTGGAGTCATCATCCCTGGAGCTATTCAAGAAACGTTTAGATATTGTACTGAGGAACATGGTTTAGTGGGAAATGCTGTTGGTAGGTCAGTTTGCATTGAATCATATTGCATGTGACAGGAGCTGATTTAGCCCCACAGTGACATTTTCTTATTTCCCTTCCCTCATATATAGCAATGCCATGAACTGAGAGAACAGGGTAAAGGAGATCATGACATAAGTAACTGCTTTCTCTCTGTAACCATGTCAGTAGTAAATTAAGAGTGCTCTTCTAGGAACAAGTCCCTAGAAGCCAGGAAACTTGAACATTGCAAAACATGCCTGTCTCAGCCATTCCTTACAAAGTCTGCCGTGCTGAGCTCAGAGTAGAACAAATTTCACATGTCCATTGTTCCTTGTGGCAGTTCTGAAATGTGATCTGAGACAGACAGCACAGTTTCACCAAGGGCAGATTGTGCCTGACTAATATGGTGGCCTTCTACAATGGGTTGACAACATCAGTGGACAAAGGAAGAGCAACTGATGTCACCTATCCAAACTTGTGCAAGGCCTGTGGGACCTGAGAGCCTCATCCCATCCTCATCTCTAAATAGGAGAGAGAAGGCTTGGAAGGCTTTGCTGTTTGGTGGTTCAAGATTCAGTTGGAAGGCTGCAGCCAGAAGGTTGCTGCCAATGGCTCTGTGTCCAGGTGGAGGCCAGTCATGAGTGGTGTCCCCAAGGCTCTGTCTTGGGACCGGTGCTCTTCAGCATCTTTACCAATGATGGAATCAAGAACACTCTTAGCAAGTTTGCATATGACACCAAGCCGAGTGGTGCAGCTGACAAAATAGAAGGAAGGGATGCCATCCCAAGAGACATGGACAGACTTGAGAGGTGGCCCGTGGGTACTTACCATCCTTCATGGAGATATTCTGCACCTCAGAATCCTGCCGGGCAGAAAAGAGACTTGTATTTACCAGTCTTCTGGATAAATTGTAGGCAATATGAATACAATTCCATGGCTTCGGACCTATCCATTTTTAGACTTTGACAGCTGAAGCTAGCACAGAAGCAAAGCAGAAGCATGCTGGGTGTTTCTCCCATCTTTGTGTATTGTGCAGTTGCTAGCATCCAGATGAGGGAGGGATGACCGATGCTGTTGTTAAAGAGTGTTTTGCCTGATGCAGGATGGGTTTGGCATTGTTTTGGTCAATTCTGGAGCCTGGGCTTAAGTAAAAGTGCAGAAAATCACACAGCTGGGCTAAGCAGCAGGGATTTGATCCTCCCAGCCTGAGAGTGGAAGACCATCTTAAACATTTGCAAATTGATTCCATGAGATCAGTTGAACCAAACCATGGTCTCACTGGAGAATTAAAATATTTATTAAAAATGTCCTTATTCTTTTAAGTTTGATGCCGAGGAACATGGGTCATGCCGTAATGATAGTACTGCTACCTTACAGTCCTCACACAGATGTGGTGCTCATCTACCTTGAGCAGAATAAGGTGAGACAAATAATGCCTCTTGTCTGCTTTTGATCTCCAGCACACACAGAAATTTTCTTGGTGTAGGTTCTATCCATGCATTTGCAACTCCAAATCTTTCCTGCA